TCCCCCCTCCTCACTTCCTCCTTCCCTCATCCCTCGGCTTACATCATTGGCGATCAACGCGTCCAGGCTCGTGAAGGTGCCGGGGAAAAGCGAGGAGGATCTTTGGATGATCGAGTGTCCCATCACCGGGGTACCCACATACGTGCCAGGTGGATACGCAAAGTTGCAGGTGGGAGGAAACGCTATCATCATCAGCATCATTATCATCATCATCACCACCACCGTCTCCATCATCATCTGCTTCGTCTCCATCATCACCACCATCTTCTTCATCATCATCATCTTCTTCTACTTCATCATCATCATCATCATCATCATCATCATCATCATCATCATCATCATCATCATCATCTCCATTATCTCCATCTTCATCTCCATGTTCACCACCACCACAAGTGCATCGCCATGAACATTGTCCTCTGCAGAAGATGGTTGATCCTGCCATGAAGAAACTAGTGGAGAGGTGATCGTCTCCTCCTCCTCCCTTCCTCCCTCACCTCCTTCTCAGCGTCAAACTCTCCCTCCGGGAGCAGCCAGCCCATGATCCGCCCCTTTCCCTCCTGCTCAATCATCAGCTGGGAGGTCAGCTGGAGGCAGAGCAGGGGGAGTGCAGGTGGCTGCGCCCTTCCCGCGAAGCTGCTCTAGAGGATCTCCAGCTCTACGACCAAGACTCCGGCATGCCGGTCAGCGCCAGGGACATGGCAGAGAGACTGGCAAAGATAGGGCTGAAGCCGCTGAACTCTGCTTGCCGGGACCTGAGGAAGGAGCTGGAGGAGAAGTGGGAGAGGCTGCAGGGCCACGAGCTGGAGGCTGAGTCGCTGCTCATCCTGCTCCAGAGCATCTGCGGGGAAGTGTCGCAGCGGAGCATCGGGCTGCAGAAGAATGTGCTGAAGGAGGTGGAGGAGCTGAAGGACATGCTGGACACGCGCGCCATGGCGATGGTGCATACGGTGAGGGAGCAGGAAAGGCTCAAGCTCTCGACGCTGCACGCGCAGATCGCCACGGTGGAGAAGGAGTACGAGAGCATGAAGCGCTCCTCTGCCTCGCTCAAGTCGGTACTCAAGGACTCTTCCTCCGACCCCCTCGAGTTCGTCCAGTCCTACCGCAACATCGAGAGCAGGGTCGTCAGGGTCCTCCAGTCCGCCGAGAGTTTGCGGTACCAGCCGGAGGAGAGCTCGGCGTTCCAGCTGGACTTGAACGTGGAGCCGCAGCGGGCAGTGCTGGCGCAGACTAACTTCTTCCAGCTCAAGACTCCTCCCTTCCCCCCCTCGCTCCGGTTCGTCCGGGAGGACCATGGCGCGATCCTCCTCGCCTGGACCGAAGTCTCCCTTCCCGCCCTCCTCGACATCTCTCCTGTCATCCACTACTGCCTGCATGCCCGGAAGCTTGCATCCTCCTCCTTGTCTCCTCAGGGACCTGGTAAGGGAGGGGAGGAGGAAGAGGCGAAGGGACAATGGGAGGTTGTGTTCGAGGGGAAGGAGCGGCAGTACTTGATGAGCAAGGCGAGGGGAGGAGAGAGATGGAGTTTCCGAGTTTGTGCGTGCAATCAGTTTGGAACGGGTGTGTTCAGCAGCGAGGTTGAGGTGAAGACGTGAGGTTGTGAAGGGTGATAATGAGCAGAAGGAGGAGAAGGAGGAGAAGGAGGAGGAGGAGGAAAGCGAGAAAGGAGCATAACGATGCGATAAAATCTGTTAATGAGATCTGTCCGTTGGTTTTCTAACATGAGAATCAGTTGGAACACACTCAATCAGTCTGCTGCTGCTGCTGCTGCTGCTGCTGCTGCTGCTGCTGCTGCTGCTCCTCCTCCTCCTCCTCCTCCTCCTTTCTCCTTGCCTCTCTGACCCTGCTTTCCTCCTGTCCCCTGCCTCTCAGTACCTCCCTGGTCTCTTGTCTCTCCTCCTCCTCCTCGCCCCGTTTCCTCCTGTTCCCACCTCGAATGTATCCAAGAGCTTTAAGGCCGGTCTTCCTTCCTCCCCTTTCTCGTTGAGAATCTTTCTAGCCTTAGGACCCACGCTTGCGGCATGTCAGAGATGAGCAGAGGATGGAAAGAGGAGAAAGGATGGAACGAAGGTGGTGGTGGAGGAGGAGCTGGAGGAGGAGGAGGAGGAGGAGGAGGAGGAGGAGGCATCAGTGCTTCACCTCTCCCCCCTCATACTCGCGAGGAAGATGAACTGGAAGAAAGTCTTGAGGTCCTGAGGGTCACCTGCATGCAGACCCATCAGTCCAACCCATCTCCAGCTGGACTTTTGGTCAACTTTCAAGGGCTAAGAGAAACAGCTCCTCCGCCCGGCTGAAGTTTCCACCTGTCAGCTGGACAACAGCTCAGGGTCAGCTAAGGTCAAGCTGGACTGGGCCCTTGTCTCCTCGCACCACAAGGAAGGCAGAGTACTGCTTCAGGGTAGGAAGGAAATCTTCGTCCGCCTGCAGCGCCTGCGCCATGCTCAGCTGGCTGACCGCACACGCCACGGGCTCTGACCTCCTCGTACATCCTTCCTGCCTCCTCAACCCTGCCCTGTTGAAAGCAGTCAGGAAGATGAAATCTCGTACGGGAGAGGGGCAGGAGCAGGAGCAGGAGCAGGAGCAGGAGCAGGAGGAGGAGGAGGAGGAGGAGGAGCTTCGACCTGTATCTGAAGGCTCTGAGCTAAGCTATGTTTGACCGGCGCACTTAAAGGACTGATTTCATGAGCGAATCTAGATGGCGTCAATGATAGAGGGAGGAGAAAAAGCGATGGGTGCTGGAGAACGAGGAGGGGCAGGGGCAGGGGCAGTGGCACGCGCAGGAGCAGCAGAAGAAGCATGTGCAGGGGCAGGGGCAGGGGCAGGGGCAGGGGCAGGGGCACGAGCAGGAGGCTAGGAGCAGGAGGCTAGGAGCAGGAGGCTAGGAGCAGGAGGCTAGGAGCAGGTGCGGAGAAGCAGGAGCAGGAGCAGGACCTGAAAAGACTTTCCGATGACTTCGCATCTTGCTTGAATTCTTCAAGCAGAACTCCTGCAGAGCTACCTCAGATGACCTCGTTCCCATCCTTTTCTTCCTCTTCCCCTTCCCCTTCCCCTTCCCCTTCCCCTTCCCCTTCCCCTTCCCCTTCCCCTTCCCCTTCCCCTCCCTACCTTCTTCCTCTCTCGCCCCTCCTCCTTCACCTTCTCCTCGTCCTCCCCCCTTCTTCCCCCTCACCGTAGTTGCACAGGGCCCCAACATGATACGGATTCTCCCTTATGCACCTGTACAGGATCTCATTGCTCCACACACCTTTCTCCCGCTCTTGGTCACATTCGGTAAAGAGTTTCTGCAGCCCTGTGCTCGTTCTTGTTGATCTGCACCCCAGGTCACCGCGCAAGAGGAACAGCAGAGCTGCTTGCCCTACATGCAATCTCTTTGCAAGGTTGAACAAGTCTTGGTCGTTGAGCTGCGATCTTTCTTTCAGAGACAGTCCAGATTGGTTCCCAGCAAGCTGCCCGAGCTGTTTGTGCAAAGAAGAAAGATCAGCACATTCATGGCCGTTGACAACATTCAGGCACACCAACAAATTCTTTCTCAATAACAAATGAACGCATCAAAAATTTCTCTCGCAAACACCAAGAAACGCATCAACCAGCAACAGCCCTCTTACACGCGTCCACACACATCTGCTACCCCTCCACTCATGCATCAACAACCCCCACTCGCTCCCTCCCCTCACCTTGACCGCAAGCTCCTGCACCGACTCGTCGTCCACGGTGACCTGGTGCTCGAGGACCCCAGCAGCTCTGTTCCAGTGCGAAGTTTCCTTGAGCGACTTCCAGTAGAGCATCTCCACATCGTCGGGTCGTCCTCCTTTCAGCCTTAGCACCGCCCTCCTCGCCCGATAGCTCCTCCTCCTCTCCCTCGGCGCTGTTCCAGCCATCGCTCTTCTTTCCTCCATGAGCTGAGCTGCTCCAGCTTCTACCGTCGCCCCCTGCCATGCCACAGCAGGGAGGGAGAGGAGCAATAAGATCTTGACGAGCTCAGAGAGGCGCAGCATCGCCATCCTCCATCACATCAGCTGCTGATCTGCCAGCATGTGAGAAGCGACCGAGATGGTTTGCGGATAAGAGAAGCGAGAAAGGGAGGGAGAAGACTTCGACTCTCTTCATCTCTTCATCATAAACTTGTTTCTTCTCCCTTTCATGTCTTCCTCTGTGCCATGCCTTATCTTCGCTACCTGCCCCCCCCCCTTCCTCCCTCTCTTTCCCCTCCCTCCCTCCTCCCTCTTGTTAAAATTCCCCTCACGACCGGTCGCAATAATAAAAATAGGGGCAGGCAAACGCGATGCCACCACTGCCCGTCTCCTGCTCCCCTGATGTCCGTCTCTCCCCCCCCCCCCTCCCTCCTCTCTCACTCCTACCTGGTCCTGCCTGCTGCAAGCAGCTGGGGTTGGAGATGCGGGTCTAGGATCGACAACTTTTGACTTTCAAGACTCGGGGTCAGGCATGAGCTAGGCTACTCAGCTAGCTACTCCTCTGCGCTGCATTTCAAGACAGGTAGCAGCAGGAAATCTCGTCCAGTCAAGAAACCGATCATGAGAACGGGAATGAGAAGGAGGAGGAGGAGGCGGAGGCGGAGGCAGAGGAGGAGGAGGAGGAGGAGGCTCTACAACGTCCATGATTCGGACATTGTCAAGGATCAGGATCAAACAAGGCCATCCACGTAAGTGAAGATTTCAATGAATAGGTTCGAGCGCCTGCTGCTCCAATCACCAGTCGTCGTCGATGCGCCGCCGTTGGAACGTGACCTGGAGGTCAGCAGCCCGTCAGCGGCCCCGGAGGGAGGAGACAGCGACGGGAGGAAGCAGACGACTGACCTTAGTCTCCTTCTCCGTCTGCTCGTTGATGGATTCCAGCATCTCTATGAGCTGGGCCTCGTCGATCTGCCCCCCGATCGCCCCGCGCTGAGCGTTCATGATGAGCATGTCCTCCACCTTCCTCGCCTTGTCCTTCTTTACCATCGCGATGTTCGACACTGACAGTTCGAGTTCAGCACAGGCACCTTCACCTTCCACCAGCTACTCACGTCGCTCGCGCGCCTGCGGGGAAAGGATCGCTTTCAGGATCTGAGTCCTCTGATCCTCCGCAGCCTTCTGACGCTCCTGGGCAGAACAGTCAGCACAAGAGCAAGAGACTGCAAAACATTCGATGAGCAAACATCACGAGCAAACACCACAACATATCTCATCACATTACATCCCATCATCCCATCAGCTCATCACATACAACTAGACATCACAGCCAGTCACAATTCAAACTACTTCTTCCACACCTGCTGTGCCTTCTGCTGCTCAGGGTCCATCTGCTGATATCCTCCTGCCACAGTCTCAGCATGTTGCCAACAAGCTCCGAGGATCTCCGACCGTATCCTCCCACTCCTCCCATCCCGGCTTGACCGCCGCCCTTGCCCCGAAGCTGTGCCATCCTCCTCGCCCTGATAGCGGCGAGTTCGGGATCTGTCAGAGACTTCAGCGGGGATCAAGGGATGCTTGCGAGCATGTCGTTCAATCTGATCGTCAGCTGCAGGCTGAGCTATGACGGTTGGAATCAAAACCCATCTCGATATCAATCATTTGCAAAATTCTCTTGTTCGCAGCAGAGCATATCAACTCTCGCCCGTTATGAACATCGATCTTAGTCCACCACTCATTGAATGTTCTTAGAACAGTAGAGCTCAAATATTCTCATAAAAATCCTCTTTCCTACATCATCACAACCATTTCCTCCCCCTTCCCAAGCTCGCGTCTTTCTTGCCTGTCCCCTTTCTTGCTCCTTCTTGCTCCTCCTGCTCCTGCTCCTGCCCCTGCTCCTGCTCCTGCCCCTGCCCCTGCCCCTGCTCCTGCCTCTCGCTCCTCGCTCCAGCCCCTGCTCCTTCTGCTCCTGCTCCTGCTCCTGCTCATACTCCTGCTCCAGCCCCTGCTCCTTCTGCTCCTGCTCCTGCTCCTGCTCCTGCTCCTGCCTCTGCTCCTGCTGCTCCTGCCTCTGCTCATGCTGCTCATGCTGCTTCTCCTGCTGCTCATGCTGCTGCTGCTCCTGCTTACCTTCATCGAGATCGTTGACATGCACCCCGAGTGGGTCCGCCATTGCTGCAGGCAGAAATTCTTTTGATGGAGAAGGGGTAGGGTACCTCGAAGATAGAATTCAGTACACAAATATATCTTCAAAATTTGCAATTTTTATAACAATAATTTGAGCAGTGAACAGGAAATAATTTGAGATAAGGGTGAGTGAGAAAAAAGGCGGGAGAAGGGTGATCTGAATGAGGGTGGTGGGGGTGATAACCCTACCCTGTAATGAAGGCTCCATAACCCCACCCCTGATAGGAATATTCAAAATCATGCAAAATGTACTACCCCTCCAGGCGTTCTAGTCCCTGCGGTTTCCGTTGTGATACCGTTACATCAACCGTTGAGGCGGTAATAATCGGAAGATGGCGGAGGAAGAGGGAGGGAGGAAGGGGAAAGGAGGACTGAGAGCAGTAGGATGAAGACTAGAGGTTCAGAGAGATTGACAAACACGCGAGGATCAGCGCAGTAGATCACGAGGGCAAGGATAGAAGAAGGGAGGGAGGGAAGGAGAGAAAGGAATGGAGGGAATTGGGCAATGAGCTATAGGAATTATGAATGTGAATCAAGAGTGGTTGGGGTGCTGGAGAAAGTGAGGAGCATGCAGAAAGTAGAAGCTAAGGAAGAGGGAGCATAGACATTTGGAGGAGGACGCTGTGGTGCTGGGGATGTAAAACCGAACGTATCATTGCTAGTAACGCTCCAAGGGGCGAGGTCTTGGGATAATCGGGAGCTTCGAAACAAAAGAAGAGGGTGAGTAGAGTAGCTGAACAAGACGTGACATCTGATGCCGTTGAGAACATTGTGGAGGCAAGGCCGTCGCTTTTTCTCTGCTTGTTCTGCATTGGTGATGTCAGATGAACGAGTTGAGAATTCGTTTTTGTGCTTTGAGTTGAGTGGAAGTGCTGGGTTTAGGAACTTGGGAGGTTCTGAACTAGCTTGCAGGTGGCTGGTGTTGCTCAACAAACTCGTAGGGATCTCTTGACAGCCTTGCCAGCCTGGTGTGATCCTGTGGACGAGTGAAGCGACACTATGGCTGCTTTCCCCGGCGACTTCGACCCAGGGAGCGACCTGCTCTCGGGTCTTCCTCCGGGAGTGGTGGACGACTACGTGAAGCGGGTGGACGGGGACATCAAGGAGAAGAACAACAGGATCGAGCATGTTGAGACGCAGATCAAGGAGTACAAGGAGAGGATGGGGGTCATGGTGGAGCACTTGAAGAATGTGCAGCAGGAGTTGAACAACACGCAGCAGCTGATCGATGCCAAGAACAAGGAGCTGGACACGGAGGAACATCTGCAGCAGCTGGCTCAGAGGGAGGTGGGGAGGATCATCCAGGAGATCGGGAAGTCGGAGAGGAAAGTGTTCGATCTGCAGGACAGGCTGAACTTGACTCAGAACTACATCTTCCGCGGCAACGAGAAGATGGACCAGTTTAAGATCCAGATGAACTGGAACCAGGAGGAGATCGAGCAGTGGGCGCTGGCAGCGAAGCAGAAGGAGGAGGACAACCTTGCTCTCGAGAAGTACAAGCGGGCAGACGACCTGAAGATCAAGGAGATGAATCTCAACCTCGAGAAGCTGACCAAGCAAGTGTCCACCAAGGAGCAGGAGCTGGAGAACGAGGTGACGGAGACGCAGACAGCTCAGATCATGCTGGACAAGACAGCGGCCGACTTCAAGATCCTCCACAGCGAGCGGCAGGAGCTGGTGAACCAATGGGAGCAGGCGATCGAGGCCATGAAGAGGAGAGACGAGATGATACAGCAGGTGGGGGAGGCGCTGCTGGCCAAGAAGGCGGACCTGGCAGAGCAGGAGAGGATCCTTGAAGAGAAGAAGCTCTTCCTCAGCGAGCAGGAGCAGGAGAACGAGGCCGTGCAGAAGCAGACAGTGGAGGCAGAGAAGGTGGTGCAGAGGTATCGGGCGATGCTGCAGCAGAGACGCAGAACAAGCAGAACCTGCAGGACGAGCTGGAAATAGTCCGCACGACCCTGGCCAAAGTCGCGTCCGAGCTCTCCCTCAAGAGGGTCCATGTTGCGAACGGGAAGGCAGAGCTGGAGCAGAAAAGGGACCGGCTGGAGGTGGTCAGGAGGAAGCAGGCGGAGACGAAGAAGCGGCTGGAGAACGAGTACCTCGCCACCAACGACCTGGAGAAGTCGGCACACCAGATTGAGATGATCAACAGGGAGCAGGAGAAGACGCTCAAGAGCACGGAGAAGGAGCTGGTGGCGCTGAAGCAAGAGATGTTCAAGCAGTCGCAGGAGCTCTTCAACCTGCGCAAGGATGAGGCGAACCTGATCGCTGAGATCTCGGGGGCTCAGAGTGCGGACAGGAACCTGAGGGACAAGATCAAGTCGTTGGATGCGGAGTCTCAGAAGCAGCAGGAGCACATCTACAACGCTGACTTTGCGCTCCAGCAGATGGAGAGGAAAGTGTCGAGAGCTCAGGTGGAGATCCTTGTGTCCCATGCCCATCCCCACCCCACTTGATCTGACGCCATCCTTGTTACCTTTCTTCCTCCTCCTCTCCTCCTCTCCTCTCCTCTCCTCTCCTCTCCTCTTCTCCTCTCCTCTCCTCTCCTCTCCTCTCCTCTCCTTCTCTCCCTTTCCCCTTCCCATCCAACACCCTCCCCTCCCTTCTCTTCTCTCCGTCGTCATCGCAGATTGCTCATGATGGCCTCCTAACCTTGTCACAGGGCGAGTACCGAGCTGACGAGAAGGAGGCGCTGCAGTCGAAGATCTCTCAGCTGGAGCAGATGCTGACGGCGACGGATCAGGAGGAGAGGATGCTGAAGAAGCAGCTGAAGAAGGTCAACGACGACTACAGGCAGGCGAAGCGGCAGGTCGACGACCTCAACAACGAGAAGTCCTCGCTCGACGACAAGGCGCACGAGCTGCAGCTGGAGAACGAGGTGGTGGCCCGGACCTGGAGGACGTGCATCAAGCAGAAGGAGGAGTACATAGTCCAGCACGACCTGCTCAAGTTGGAGGTCAAGAAGCTGCGGGACAGGCTCAATGACAGGGCAGACGAGGTGTCTGGCCTGCAGAACCGTAAGTTCCAGCTGCAGAAGACGATGGAGGAGAGGACGCTGGAGGTCAAAGCACAGCAGGAGGTCCTTCGGTCGGACTTGAAGATGGCGCAGGAGGAGCTGCATACGGTGGTGATGGAGCTGAGGGACAGGGAGATGAAAGCTGGGACGCTGCAGAAGAAGCTTGACCTTCTCAACGACAAGATGCGCGCGGAGCTGGGGGGTGAGGAGGAGAGGAAGAGCCCAGCGTACTACGTGGTCCTTCGGGCGCAGGAGAGGGAGGAGCTGCAGAAGGAGGGGGACGAGCTGGATGCTAGGATCCAGAAGGCGGAGAAGGAGATCCGAGCGCTGGAGAACACTCTGGCGAAGTTCAACGCCAAGAACGACAAGTTGCGATCCTCCTTCAGGCAGTCGGATGGCTCGGGAGCAGACTCAGAGGCGAAGCTTGAGCTGGAGGCGAAGCTGGAGAGGCTGCTGGAAAGGAAGAGGCAGAAGAAGGCTGAGGCTGACACTCTGGCCGCCGACGTCTCGGAGATGCGGCAGAGGCTGTCGAACCTGCTGGCGGAGGAGGAGGGGATGAGGAGGCACGTGAAGCTGGTGCAGGGGAAGGCGAAGCAGTTCGACAAGGAGAGGGAGGAGCTGCTGGCCAAGAGGGACCGGGCGAGGGCATCGCTGGACAGGCACTCCAAGAGGCTGCGGCAGGCAAGGGGGGCGTCGGGGGAGACGGAAGAGGAGCGCTCGTTCAGGCTGGCATCGATGAGGGAAGAGAACAAGAACATGCTCTACGTGATTATGTCGCTCAAGGACGAGTTCCCCGACCTCGCTGGAATCATCGACGATGCCGTGCAGAGCAACGGCATTGCACCCCCTTCCCGTCCTCCCAGCGCCCGATCGGAGGTAAGAGACGGAGGTGTCGAGACGCAGGTTAAATTTATTGCAGGTTTCCTCTATTGGAAGCACGACTTCGTGAAGGTCTGGGAAGGAGAGCGAGAGGAGAGGGAGGCAGTTGAGGAGAGGAGAGTGATTTTATTCATCAGTACATTTGCTCAAAACGGAAGACAAACGAAACAAGTCTCCATACCGCCATCTCAGCCTCATCGCCAATGCTCATCTCTGTTTTTTCATTCGTATTCCCCTCCTCCATCCTCATGCCATCAACACCAAGCAAAGCAAAATGCACCCACCGACTTAGTTGCGACCAAAGCGTTGCCCGCCTGTTGAGCTATCTAGCCTCTAGTCCTCGGCCTGTTCTCTACTCCTCCTGATCATCCCGCTGCACTCTGGGCTTTGCCATGTTCACCATAATCTTCCTTCCCTGCAGTGAGTCCGTTAGCCTGCCGTGTCTCCAGACTCTAGGACAACATACCATGAACTCTTCCTGGTCGCACTTCTCAACAGCATTCTGAGCCTGCTCAGCGTTTGCGAACCCGACTGGAGGAACACGATCAGCCGCAAGTTCACGAGCCGGCAACACAGCAGCCCTACCAAAGCCAAATCCTCGGGAGCGAAAGGGGTTCTCGCGATCCATGACCACCTTGGCGAACTTGACCTGCAACTGGCGCATCAACATGGAAGGAGGCAGGCGGAGGTTGTTACGTCTCCGAATTCCCCGAAAAAGTTCTTCAGGTCCTCGTTGGAGACCTGAGCATGCCGAAGTCAGCGCTTGCCTCTCCAGATGAATCCCCCAACTCCTCCACGCACCTTCCAGTTAAGGTTTCCAACATAAATCTGAAATTCCTTTGGCAACAGACCAGTGCGGCCCGAATAGTTGTTCGATGCAGGCCTCGATCCTTCTTGCCCCGCAGAGGAGTTGTCCGGGTTCTCAGTTTGCATAGAGAACATGCGAGCCTGCGAAAAGTAGGATCAAGACGTGCGAGCCTGCGAGAAGTAGGAACAAGATCTTTGCTGCATATCATCAGTCATCCATCACAATTCGACATTATATCTGAATCAACAGCACATCTCCATACACCCAAATATTTGAGCGCTGCATCAGCGTGGTTCCAATCATACCTGCGCGGGGAAAGAGCACGCGCGCGAGCGCACGTGAAGCGAACTCGTTTGCAAGGATGCCGGGAGAAACGACATGCGAGCAAGAGAGTGCATGGAGGAAGCTGCGGGAACTGATTTGAAGCATGAAGAAGGGGCTGAAAGAAGCGATAGCGCGTTCGTCCTTGATGTTTCGACAACAGGGCGGAAGAAGCGAAGCACAAAGGTTGAGCGCATGGCAGCGGCGGGGGAGGACAAGTAACCGGTAGTTCCTCCCTAAAAAGTGAGGGTGGGGGTATTTGGGTCTTAATCTCGCACGGGTGGAGTTTTTTCATGTTAGGGTAGTAGATTTGGGGGGGTACTAAGTACCCCACCCTCATCTATACATTCATGGGGTATAGATCCAATACCACAAAAGTGAGGGGGTTATGCAAATCCCTGACTTTATGTCAAGGGGGTGGGTGGTATGAAGGTTCGCTCTAGGGCGATAGGGTGCAAAGGACTTGCAGGAATTTATCGGGGGTACAAGGATGTGAGGGGGTATGTAGAATCAAGAGCCGCAAAGCTAAAATCAGACCTCAAGGTTGAGATTTTTATAGTTGGATTACGGTATATAATGCAGTACATCGATGCTAAAGCCAGTTTTGATAGCACAAGTTATGGAAATATTTCAATAGTAGGGTAGGGTACAACAATCGCGGTGTCCCGTAGGGGTGGACACCCCACGTGGGTCCAAGGGAATCGTGCAGGGTGGAGGTAGTGGAGTACGGGTGTTAATCCCTACCAAAGAGGGGGTGATTCCGTATTGGCGTTGGGTCCCCTTTCTCCGCTGCACAGTAGTACCCGGGTATGACTTCACCTGCGAATAAGTACCCCTGTTACGACATGGATTAGGTACCCCTCTTCCTGGCCAATTCAACCACCCCACCCTTCATCTGATAGAGAAGGGTCAGCAATGGCTCAAGTAAGCGTGCCCGGGTCAAACCACCCCCCATTCTGACCGGAATTGAGTGGGTGTAAACTATGCTGGGCCCGGCTGGCCCGGCCCGCATAGCGGCCTAGTGCCCGGCGGGTAGTACAGCGGTGCCAGACTCACCGGGTGGCAGAGTCACGGAGTCACCGGGTAGTCCGGCCGCCGGGCCGGCCTTACCAAGTCACTGCTCAAGTTGCCAAGTTGGCAAGTTGATACCGACGTCGCCACGCCGGCCGTGACTCCGCTAGGTCAGTGGCAAGCCTGAGGGCCTCAGCCAGCGCCGGGATCCGATCGGACTCCGCCGATCATATCGGTGGCAGCCCATCGCCGGCCCGGGATGATCGGCCGGGCCGCGCGCCGCGCGCCGCCGGCCCTCACGGTCAACTGGCAACAGTGAAGCCTGTCACGCACTGGCCGGGCCGACTCCGAGCGTGAGCCTCGAAATGCCGCTGGGGGCCGCGGGCCGCCACTAGTAGCGGCCGCGCGGCTGGCACACTGATTCTCTAAAGCGCCGGGCTTGAACTTGAGCCCGCTGACTCCGGCCTTCGGCCCATCATCGGAACCAGGGGACTGAGGAGCAGTCACCGGGTCACCGACGGCGTGTACCGAGGCCCCTTGGCACTCAGTGAACTTGTGACTTCGGCCGCCGGGCGTAAGGCGTTCAGCGTCTAGTTCACTGACCGTACTCTGGATCAGTGGCAGTGTTCCCGGCCTGGCCCGGCGGCGCGTCAGCCCGGCTCAGCGGCTGCACTGAGCGCGGCCGGCCGCGCATGGCAACGGGCCGGCCGGCCGCCCGGGTGACTGCGCGCGGCGGCCCGGTTAGTACGCGCGGGCCGGGCCGCCGGGCCCCCGGCGGCCTGGGCTGAGGTGTTTCCTTGCTTGCAGAGAAACCCAATGGCCGCAATGGGGAGGGGAGACGGGGAGGGAGAGGAGAGGAAGGGAGGGAGTGAGCAAAGGAGAGGAAAATCTCTTGCGCAGGATACTCGAGCCAGTGCCAGAGGGGAAGGGAATGATGAACAGAGTTTTGGTTGAGTGTCAACAGCTGGAAAATGCAGAGGTAGGGGAGGTAGATGTGCTGGGTGGATGGGGTGTCGCTGGGGTGTCGCTGAGGGAGGAAGACGACGACGAAGATGGCGATGTAACCAAAGAGTCGAGAAACTAGAAAACAAGGTAGAGGGGGTAGGTTATTGGGGCGAGAGCCGAGATGAAGGGGAACGAAAGTGTTTGAGAATGGAATTGGAGCAGGTAGCGGTACTGACATGAGCAAATCAAGAATTCATCTCAGCAAAAGATAATTCCAGATATCTCAAGATGATGCTGATTGTTCCTCAATCGGCCGATAGCACAGCGGAAGCCTTTTCCCTATGCTTATGAATCATTTTCTCAGAGTCAACAATCCTTCATAGCATTGACGAATTCATGATAGTTTGTGGAGGAGACGACGTCGACAGTTCCCAGGGCTCTTGCCCTGCTCAGCTGGTTGTGGCGCTTCCTCCTGCTCCTGCTGGTCACTAGCGCGTCAGGACAGTTCGAGCCCTCGAGACTTCTGTTTCTCCGGACTCACACCCCACCTTCCTTTGCTGGGCCCTGGAGGGCAAGGAAGGCTCCGTTCCCTCCTTCAGGCGATCGTCTGCTCCGCAAGAAACTTTGGACTCGTCCTGCCATGTGGGAGGACGAGGATACGGAGCATGACTTCGAACCCTGCGTTCCAATGCACCTGCGAAGGTGGAAGAGGATGAGCAGGGGCGGGAAAGAGCCCCGGGGCAGCCAGCAGCAAGGCACGGAGGACGTGAAGGGAGTCGAGACGCTCAAGGTGGTCAGTTACAACGTGCTAGCGGAGTCCCTGGAGGAAATCACGACTAGCGGCCTTGACTGTCGGATTGCGTGTTGGAAGCACAGGAGTCGTCTTATCAAGGACGAGCTGAAGCGGTGGGTAGCGCGGACGAGCCCTTGACGATGCAGGATAGCTGACGACCAAGGCAACAGGTGGGATGCAGACATCGTATGCCTGCAAGAAGTAGACCACTTCGACGATTTCTTCATGAAGGTCTTGGGAAAGTGGTCAGGATCTCGGAGTTTACCGAGAGGCCTTAGTCTTACCCTTGTCTCCAGGGGGTACGAGGGGAGGTTTCTGAAGCGGACGGGGGACAAGCGCGATGGGTGTGCGATCTTCTGGAGGTAGACGACGGCAAGGCGCTGATAGTTTCATGACGTCGTTCCTTCAGGCAGAGCAAGTTGCGCCTGAACAGAGTCCACAACCTACAGTTCAACGTCTCTCCTTACTTTGACAGGCATGCGGAGGCAGTGTGGCGCGGTGTTGTGTGCTCCGACTGAAGTTGGCCCAGGGATAACATAGCTATCATCGTCGACCTCTCCATTATCTCGACTTCAGCCAACCTTGTACCTTCCATCCTCCTTCTGAGCTACCCATTGATGTCTCTCCCTCTCTTCCTCCCTTCAGCTCGTTGCCAACACCCATCTTCTCTTCAATCCTCGTCGCGGAGACATCAAACTGCAGCAGGCAAGATCTGAGCACTTGCCCCCTCCCTCCCTCCCTCCCTCCCTCCCTCCCTCCCTCCCTCCTCGCTGAACGCGCTTCCAGATTTCGATGATCCTTGACACCCTATGGCATTTGAGCTCGGTGACGAGGTGGATTTCTTGTCCCGAAGTGTAAAGGGTTCGAATCAGAATGAGGAAAACCAGAAGCAAAAGCCTGTTATCTTCTGTGGCGATTTCAACTCTTCCCCCTTCAGCCCTCTCTATGACTTCATCGGTGAAAGCCTTCTGCTCCTGCTCCTGCTCCTGCTCCTGCTCCTGTTCCTGCTCCTGCTCCTGCTCTTACATGAGCCGTGTCGCAGCCACTGGCTCGCTGCTACTCGACAAGAAGCAGTGTCCTACGCTCCTATCTGGGCAGGTCTGCAATCTAGATTCTCACTCCCCCTCCTCCTCATCTCTCTCATCTCCTCTCTGCTCACTGCTCATGGCAGGTGACATGGGATCACTGGCGGAAGATGAATTGTCTTCCTATCATCCCCTCGGCTCGAAACAGGAGGTAAAGCTCCCTGGTCCCTCTCGCTCCTCCCTCCTGCTCCTCTTCCCTGTTAGCTTCAACTCGGCTCTCGCCCCATCCCAGTACCTTCACCAAGAATCGACTGTGATCTCCGACTGCTAAGTTTTACCAACAGTGGTGGAACTATCAGATCCTCTGACTTCAGTGCAAGGGTAATCCTTCATGTCGACTATTTCCCCTCAGCCTCGTCCTCCTTTTCTTCCTCCATCCCATCCACCACCACCACTTTCCTCTTCCTCTGCTCAGTCTTTCCTTGCAAGGTTCCATCCAACTCTCTAGTCTGTCGCTTCTTTGCCGAAGGAAATTGTCGACGGGCCGATTGTCATTTCCTGCACATTCGATCGCCCACCAAGTACATGCCGCAGCCCAGGAGCCGAATAACCCACGGTGTTACTCGTTTGTTTGACCCTTTCCTCCTCTTCTCTGCTGCCTCCTCGCCTCTCCTTACCTCCCTATCAGTCTCGGTCTTCTTTTGCGTGATTTGTCCACTCCATGCTCATCCCCTTCCCTCGTCTCCTTGCTCTTACCCTCTCAGCCTCCTCCTCGTCCTCGTCATCATACTTCTCCTCTTACTTTTGCTCCCTCTTCTCCTCCTCTTACGCTTGCTCCTGAAGTCTGGCCGGACTGGTGGAGAGAGCTGCAGACATATCTCAACCACTCCCACGTCAAGACAGAGCGACTAGACCTTGTTGTCAAGGTTTGCAGGCAGGCGTCAGCGTCAAACTGACCGGCTCGGCAGTCTCCCGACCCTAAGAAACGATTGCTGGAGCAGGAGGGACTGCAAGAGAGGAAAGATGAGTGGGCTTTGACGGCGAGGGGTAGGGAGGAGGAGGAGCAGCAACAGGGTCCTCAAGCAAGAGAAGGAGCTGCCAAGGTAGAGCTGCCAAGGACGAGGATCGGCTGCTGAACGATGTCGCCTCCCAGGTTGTGGGAGACAAGAAGCGCGGGCCTCCACAGAGAGGTAGCGAGGAGGACGCGGAGTTCCTCCTGAAGCATCCCTTCCAAGTAAGAGGTCACTGCCATGGCAGCTCTTACATGTCATCGTGCCTCAGTTTTCAAGTGCGTACTCCTGCCTCTCCGAGGGAGCCAGAAACGTAGGTAGTGGCCATTACAAGGCTTCAAACTAAGGTCCCTGACAGAAGGTCCCCTCCGAGCCAGCCTGCACAACCTTCCATGGAGGGTCCAAGCTCACAGTCGATTACATATGGGTCACTCCAGAGATTGAGGTTTCATCCCCTAGCTGCTCCTCTTGCGCTTCCACATGCTCCCCTCTGCTCCTCTTGTCTTTGCATCCTCCTGTCTCAGCTACATACACTCTTCTCCTCCTCCTGCCTGCTGCATGCAAATTTCTTTGACTTGAAATGAAGGTTCTTGGCGTATGGGAGATGCTTCCGGTGAGAGATGTCTATTTCTTCCTCCCCCTCCTCCTCCTCCTCACTTCCACCTAGCTGTCCATCCTAGATGCTCCGCATTCTATCCTAGACGAGAAGAGGTTCTACGGTGAGCAGACTCCCATGCACGCTATGAGCTGAGAGCTTGTCCAGGGCTGCCAAGTCATCACTGGGGCTCAGACCATATGGCTCTAGCGTGTGTTGTGCGGTTAGGTTGAGGAGGAGGAGCAACGGGAGGAGGCGGCAGGGTGAGCGCATGCATTCTTGTCATTCTTTGAAGGGGATAGGCAGCTCGTAGGGGCTGATCTTGGGCTTGAACCGAGCCTTGGTCATAGCAGAAGCTCGCATGTCCGCCTGTGGCCCCGTCAGCTGCCGCCCAGCAACTTTCTCACCTACTCACCTCCTCGTAGAAGTACTGGATCCACTCTCTGACGTTCTTGGGGTTCATGACGAGGTTCTTGGACGGAGTGATGGTCGTCGCCCCAGACCTCAGCGAGAGGTTCGCGATGTTGCCGATGCTGGCGTCAAAGTCAGCACGAGAGCCCGAAGCATGTCTGGCACTTCTCACGTCTTGGACGACATAGGCGTCGCACCCTCGCTGGTGTCGAGAGAGCTTTGAGGCCTCACCGAGCCTTCCGTCTTGCTCTTCTTGTTGCCCTCCGCCCTTCCAATGCCCAGAGCAGATTTTGATCGCTATCAAGGACGTCAGATGACAACTTGTACGCTACAAAAACCAAACATGAAGAGGAAATACCAGGGTTTCTTTGTGTTTGATCTTCGGGAGGATTGGTTGGGATCTTTCAATCTTTAGCTGCGATTTTGAGAAAGAGAGAGTTGACGAAGACTGTATCATCCTCGAGAGACTTCCAAATCTGATCCGACTTTTGCTTGCTGTCATGCTCTCTGTTGGCCCCACAACTAGCTTGCTCATTTCCAAGCACATGTTGTCGTCTGCACTGGCGTTGAACTTCATGCAACATGCGTCGCACACTTTCATCTTTCTTTCGAGGAACTCCGGATCCTTCACGACAACATTATGAAAGAATCTTCGAAAGTCTGCCAAATCCTGTTTGGAATAATCATTCAAATGGTGTGCTTGTATAACTTTGCCGTCAACAATTGCTAGCTTTGAGAGGAACTTAAATACAAGGGAGTCAGCGTTAGAAACCGGCAGAGGAGGGATCTGTTTCCATCCTGAGAGCTCTGTGACAAACTCCTTGTTTCTTGGCATTTGATAGACCAGCGATCCATTCTTTAGCTCATACGCCTTCACGTCTGAGTTCTCTTTGAACTTTATCATTTCATCCTCCTCAATCCATTTTTGTCTGTACGGGCTCAGCTTGCTATATTCATCATCTTCTGGTATCTTGACATCTTTGTCGATCGGATGTTGGTTCTGATGGTACAGGATCATGTACCGATAGGAAGTTATTTTCATCTGCGAGATATCATGTAGTCCATTGACTTGATCGCAGTGGTGATCTATGTTGTAACCAGCACACGGGCATTTGAAGTACTCCTTCTTCAAGTTGCTCTTCTCATACTTGTGCTTGGACGCGACATGAGCAGCAATTGGGGGCGTGAGGAAGGCCTCGAGCTTGGGGGGCTCGTTGGTGTTGAAAACTTTCAGGTCGTTACACCATAAGAAGAGTAGCTTGTTCTTTCCTGTCAACTTGAAGAAGCATTCCATCGTCCATAGGGTGTAAGAGGATGGCAGCAGCTTCTTTACATGCTCGACGATGCTCTTAACATATTCTTCCAACCTTGCCTTGAGCTTGTATGACTTGATATCAAACTCTGTTGACAAGTGCTCTTGCCCGTCAAATGTTGAGAGTCGATCATTCATAACTACACGAAGGTCTGATATCTCAGCCTTGTTTACTCTCTGTTGCATTTGTAGCTTGTGCGGAGTCCAATATGCACGTATCATGCTGTTATATGGACTGTTGGGTTTCTCAAACTTCTGTACAATGCCATTGTTCTCTTTCGGACGATTCAACAGAAAGTTCTCAAGTCCAGTATCATCGAAATATTCCACCTTGGCTACCTTGGCCCCTCTCGCTGTCTTTGTGTATGATACATAGTAAGCAACACAGTCGTGCTTGCGAGTTCCTTCACAGAACTGCCTTCGGATGACATGCGGGTCCAACTCCTTGGTGTCAGACCGCTTGATGAGCTCCCCGTCTGGATTGCTAGTGAACCACGCGCATGGCCGCTGGTACTTAAGCATGACAGTGCTGCATGACGAGTCAAGAGAGTTTGTGTCATCGCAGAATTACCTTGGGATAAAGACCGGCGGGGGAGGATCGTTTCCTTTCTGCGTATAGAGATAGTTGTAGATGTCCTCCAGCCATATCACCTGAACCAGAGCAAGTCATGGTGATGTCTCTTCTGCTCCTTCATTCCTCGTGTCCTCCTCCTCCTCCTCCTCCTCTGATGTCAGTTGCACGGGCTGGTCCGACTGCTCCAGCCATCTCTCACCTTCTCCACGCTCTTGTCCTTGGGAACCGCTCCGCTCGCCATAACGGCGGGGGGACTTTGTTGGAGGGGTGGGGGTAGAGTCAGGTGGGGTGGCTTACGAACAAAAGGGGGGGTGTGTAAAGCCGGGCGCTCCAAAGCAGGGGTACATTTCCTTGTTACTACCAGTAAAATGAGGGGTAATCCGTGGTGAGGGACATGTCGGTTGGAATCTACTAGCTGGCGGGGTGATCAGCCCTAAGAAACCGGGGGCACTAGGGTAGGCCTGCACTGGTGATCGCGAGGGTGGGGTAGTTTTAGGTCCGTTGGAGTGCGACAAGCTGCGCTGAGGGAGGGAGCAGGCAAGGGAGGGGAGGAAGGAGAGGGAGGGGGAGGGAGAGGATGAAGAAGATGTTAGAGAACGAGATGGCTGTGCTTCAATTTCAGCACATGAGAAGCTGAGTAAGATATTCAAAAGAGATTGCATGTGAGAGGCAGGGAACCGTAGAGATCGACGTGAATGGTTACCAAGGATCGAGAGTTGGGAGTTTCGCCGAGCAGACTCTTTTTCATCCTTAACATGAGATTTTCTTGTTGTGTGGTAGTGAAGAAGATGAGAATGACGACTCTTAGCTTAGAATGAGTGAATGCGTCACGAGTCTTGCAAATTTGGACATCTAGGGATCGCTTAGTCAATATGACGATCTAAGGATCCTTCAGCATATTTGGATCAGTACATCTCTCCGAGGCTGTTCCTGTCTTTTGATGTTTCTTTCTCCTCGCTTGAGTTTGCTTCCTCCTCTTCTCAACGAGCTTGCCTGCGACAAGTTACCGCGGCTCTCCCTGGACAGCCCTCCCTGACCTGGTCCATCCCAAAGTCTCTGGGGGCAGGCGTGGAGCATCGAGTCGAGCAGGAAGTTCATGACAACGATGCAGTGGCTCGCAAGAAGCATCGAACTCCCGAGAGCGACTTTGTGATATCTACCTCGTACCTTGCTCGCCATCTCCTGTATCAACGAGGAGTCCTCGTTCTCAAGGCCCTTGTCATCCCCGAGGAAGACGAGAAACTCCTTGCGGCTGCTGGTCGTGTCTCCCTCCCCGTCCCCTCCCGACCATTCCTTTCTCAGCCTTTGCAGGAATGAATCGACCGGCTCTCCATCTGGGTGTAGTTCGACCATGATAGCCGACCCGTCTTGCATATCGTTCCCCTCCTCCTGTCCAACTTTCTCTCAGACTCTGTTTGGTGGACATGATTCAACATCAATCACCTCTGATTTCATCTTGTAGCTCAGAGCATCGTAGACTGCGTTGGCTAAGTTTCGATCAGAGGGTGACAGCATGATAAGAATGTGAGGACCCAAATCAGACCGGCGACATTCAATCCCTCGACTGTTCTGCGCTTCCTTTGCGGCAAGTTGCCTTTCTTTTTGTTTCGAGATCTTCCCGACGTCAACAGAAGCCCAGGAAATAACTTGCGAGTACCTTCATGGTGGGATCATTCACATTCTCATAGGGCTCGTCGCGCGACAGGAGAAACTTGTCGATGCATTGCTTCAGTCGCAGCGAACAATGATTCTCGTCCGGCTGTCAGAGTGCAATCAGTTTTTTCTTTTGCCTGACAAGAAGACGCTGTATCGTCTCCATTACCATCAGGTTTCTGACGAGCCCTCCACTTATCCTCACCGTGAGAGGTTCTTCACCAGCACCCACACCTCCGAAGCAGAGACTGATCTCAGTGTTGTGCCTCAGACTTTGGGAGCGGAAAAGCGAGCCTTGACGTTGATCAGTGCAAGAGAGCCGTTGAGCTCTTCACCTCCCACCTGTGATGCACCTGCAGCCGACGTCCACTCTCCCCTCTCTGAGATTCGAGAGGTCGAACTTAGGACTAGCTCGCTTCAATGGCACGAAGTATCGCCGGATGAAGCATGGGCAGGGCCGGGGATTCGCATCTACCTAACGGGAAAGGAATAGGACAGTGTAATGAGCTATTCAGACTCATGCAAAATGAAACAAACACACCGCTTCCTCACAAAATATGAACGTGGAAGCCGGATCGTTGCTGTATCCCATGGCACAAGTCTGTCAACATAACACGATCAGCGTCGGAGGGCCCTGCCCTTCCTGAGAGGAAGCGAATTGTACGGTGGGAACCTTCGCTATATGTCCTGTCTTCCCACAGTAATGGCATCTTGTCTTGAGACAATCTCTACGTGCGAAAGGCGTCATTATCCATTCATGGGACCTTGTGAACATACCTTGCTAGGTGACCAACCTGCCCGCAAGTGTAGCAAGGAACATCTTTCTTCTTCTTGCTCGAGGTCTGACTCGAGCTTCCCTCCAAACCTTCATCCCTCCGATGACCTTCCTCCTCGCTTCTCTCCTCCTGCTTCCTGGCTCCTTCCCCTTCCTCAGGCGGCCCCATCATCAGCTCCATCATCTCATCTCTTGCACAAATGCAAAATTACAGCCGGCCACCCAGCTAGCTTGCGCAATGGACGCAACGATGGGTAGCACGATGGCACCCACGATGGCTCGAGGAGATTGAAGATGATGAGGGAGGGAGGCAGTGGGAAGATGGTATCTCGAGACGGGGGAGGGGAACACGAGATGGTTGTTGTAGCGAGAAGGTAACGTAGTGAGAGGATAGTATGGGGTTTAGATCGAGAAAGGGATTGGAAGAGTGAGCAGAAAGAGTTTATGCGACATGTAAGGTGTAGGATGCGAGTTTTGCATGAGCCAATTGTAGAGATAGTTTAGGATTCCATACCATTGAGGCGAAAGAATCTTGACAGAGATGAAGGGGGTCACTAGTCTCACTGCAAGGAGGATCGAGGCACAGGGCAAGGAAACCAAGGGTGATGATAAGCAGGGAGGCGGGAAGGATGGGAAGGAGGAGAAGGAGGAGAAGCAGGAGAAGCAGGAGAAGCAGGAGAAGGAGAGAAAGGGATGGTAAATTTCATTACTTCATCATGCTTTGACTGTGAATTCATGTACAGCAATATGTCATAGAGAAGTCAAAATGATCTTGGAGTCACAACATTCTGCAAGACAAAGTCGGGAGGTCGGGGTTTATTGATGGGACCCCATGAGGAACACAGGACGACTTGTAGAGGTGCTGCTGCTCCTGTGCTCAGCAGACCTGCTTCTCAGCGGGCAGCAGCCTGTCAGCGTGAGGAGATGCTGCCTGCAGCTACGGGGAGGGTTCAAGCGAGGTTGGAAGGGGCGTGACCCAGTGCTGAAGAAAGATTACAGGCCCGAAGTCTCACTCACCAAGAGGATACAGAAGGAGCAAGATGAAATCGAGTACTATCACGAGTACGTCCACAAGTCCAAGCAGGCTGACCGTCTGAGAGAGCAGATGATGTCTCTCGGTAGTGATCTCCTCAAATTTCCCAGTCACAACGCAAGCTCAGCAGACAGCCAGACCGCTGAAGCTCGAGCGCTGTACCTGAGCACCCTCCAGAGCCTTGTTGGGCATCAGTTTGGGAACAACCAGCATGGGGCTGAGGCAAAGAGCGCACTGAGCAAGAGGCAAGAGGAGCTGATGCAGGAGCCGACGATACAGCGCAAGAGGCACTACAAGGAGGAGGAAGCGAGCTCTCACAAGAGAAAGAGGTTGCAGTATCGGGTCGAGAATTCAAGTCGTACAAGGGAGGTCGAAGGTTGCCTTGCTACGATCATCCCCTGCTCTGACTGACGATTGTCATGCAAGGCCCGGAGACGAGGTTGTTGGACTTTGTGGAGCCTGCGAAGCAGCCTACGGTGGTAATGACCTGATGTGATGGATATGTTCTCCTCCTCCTCCTCTTCTACCTTCTTAGTCTCTTTGTCCCTGTTCCCCCCCCCCCCTGTTACCTCTCCTCCTCCTCCTCCTCCTCCTCCTCGTCGTTGTTATTCTCCTTCTTTGCTGTGATTGAGAATGATCTTCTTTTCCTCTGTATCTAACTTTAAGATTGGAAGACAGCTGTGGTTCGCGTTAGCGAGGAGACGCTCAAAGAAATCACATCCCAAGCTGCCGCTGGATCCCTCAGTGCTCAGGTTTTCGACTAGATGTCAGATTCCTTGCTCGAAATTACTTTGCCCCCTTGTTCTTCTCCTCTTCCTCTCTCCTTCTTGTCCTCCTTTCCACGTACACGCCTGACTGCTCTTGCTGCTCCTGCTCTCCTCCTCGTCCTCCTCTCTCCTCTTGCCTTAACTCTGTTTGCATCATCAGGTAGAGCTGGGGGAGATGTACGTGAATGGATCCCTTCCCAGCGACCCGATGAAGGCGGTGGCATGTTTTATGACGGTAACGGAAGCTACAAGGGTGGCGCGAGGAGACGCGGGAGAAGGAAGGGAGAAGGGGAGAGGAGGAGAGGGGAGGGGAGGGGAGGGGAGAAGAGGCCAGGTGGGGAGAGGAGACGGGGGGAGAGAGGAGAGGAGGAGAGAGGAGAGGAGAGGAGAGGAGAGGAGATGACTTCTTTTGCCTTCAGGGTGTGGATGAGCGTCATCCTCCTGCTCTGCACAACATGGCAAAGGTAAGTCACAAGTGGAGAGATTGACTTTCATGTTCATCAGAACATTCAAATATTGACATCCATCCTGTCAAACTCGATCTTCATTCTCATCTCTCACTTTGTTATCGATACCGACACCATTCTATACTTCTTCTACCTTCCTCAGCTGCTGCTACTGTTGCTGCTCTCCTCCTCTCCTTCCTTCCCCCTCCTTATGGCAGCATCGGCCCCACACACTTTCATGTTTTGCACGTGTTGGTTCTTCATTCACGAACTTCTCTAGTGTCTGGCTCGAGGCATTGGAGTCGATGTCGATGAGAAGAAAGCCTTTCAGTTGTGGTATGAAGCTTGCGACCTTGGGTAAGAGGAGGAAGAGGACAAAGAAAAAGATGGACAGAGCGATGACGGAGGATGTGGATGATGATGATGGTGATGATGGTGACGTAGAAGGAGGAGGAGGAGGAGGAGGAGGAGGAGGAGAAGAACAAGATGATGATGATGATGATGATGATGATGATGATGATGATGATGATGATGATGATGATGATGATGATGATGATGATGATGATGATGATGATGATGATAAGGAAGAGGCGATGGTGATGGTCGTGTTGGGTTGAAAGGGGGAGTGATGCACGATGAGCCTCGAGGACGGTTCATTGTCACTTGAGCTTGTTGACGATGATGCAAGGTATTCAGTTTCCTATTATGAACTTGGATATTGTTATCTTCGGTGAGTTCATACCCTCATCCTCTTCCTGCGCGTCCTCGTCCTCGTCCTCGTCCTCGTCCTCGTCCTCGTCCTCGTCCTCGTCCTCGTCCTCGTCCTCGTCCTCGTCCTCGTCCTCGTCCTCGTCCTCGCCTGACCGTCTTTTACTTGGTCTTGACGGTGTTCTGCAGAGGTATCGGCGTTCCCAAGGATGAGGAGCTTGCGTTAGATTCTTTCAAGAAGTAAGCTCTTGATCTCCTTCTGCATTTGTCTCAAGTCCTCCCTCGCTTTCTTGCTTCTAACCATTCCCTTCCCCTGCCATCTCGCGCCGTCGCTATCGTTTACCCCGACCTCTGCTACTCTCTCCTCCTCCTGCTCCTCCTGACCCTTCTTCTCTTCGTATACCTTCCTCTTCTTCTCCATTATCTCCTCCTCTGGGGCTACTGTTGCTTCTCCTGCTCCTCCTCCTGCTCCTCCTCCTGACCCTCTGACTTTGCGCTAGGGGAGGAGACCTGGGAGATCCTCGCTGTGTGTATAACGCGGGTGTGATGATCTTCATGGGGTGGGGCCATGGGACGTCAGACCACAAAGAATCTCTCCGATGGCTCAAGAGAGCTGCAAGGTCAACTTCCTCTTCCTCTTCCTCTTCCTCTTCTGCTGCTGCTGCCCCCTCTTCCATTGCCCCCCCTCCCCTCCCCTCTCCTCTCCTTGACCTATCGAACTTGTCTCTTTCATTACCGAGAGCATGTATCCACTGCTCTTCCCTTGCCTTTCCTTGACCTCGTCTTCCCTTTACTCGCTCCATTATCGCTCTGCTTCTCTCACTCTCCACTTCCTTCGCTCCCGTCTCTTACCGCTGTCTCGCCTTCATCTCATCTCATCTGTAGCTTCGGCCTTCCTCATGCGCAGTTCCTGTACGCCATGTTGGGGATGAAGTCAGGGGAACGTTCCCTTAGAAATCCGATGTTCCCTTCCTCGGAAGTCCAAGACAACATGGACAACTCGACAAGCGACTTGTTTCTCGATTTATCTGGGTCCATCAAACTCTTGCGGAGAGCAGCCCTGCAGGTCTTCCTTGCTCCTACTGCTCCTGCTCGTGCTCCTTCTTCCTCCTGCTCGTGCTCGTGCTCGTGCTCGTGCTCGTGCTCGTGCTCCTCCTGCGTCTGCGCCTGCTCCTGCGCCTGCTCCTGCTCCTGCTCCTGCTCCTTTCTCTCCCTCTCCTCACGTCCCGCCCCGTCGTCCTTCCTCTGCTCCCTCGTCCTCACTCTCCTCATGCTCGCCTGCCTTCATGGCGCTTGCTTGATCGCCTTGTGTGCAGGGACACCTCGAGGCCATGAACCACCTCGCGCTCGCGTACGCGCAAGGCACTCCTCCACCCAAGAAGCCTCTGAGAGCGATGAGATGGTGGAAGAAGGCAGCAAGAATGGGGAGCACAACGGTGAAGCTCCTTATCGTCCTGTCCCTGGGGTTGCCTCGTCCTCGTCCTCGTCCTCGTCCTCGTCCTCGTCCTCGTCCTCGTCCTCCTCGTCCCTCTCCTCTTCCTCTTCCTCCTCCCTGAGCGGCTTCTGGGCAGGCCATGTGCAACCTTGTCAAAGGACACTTTGAGAATCACTTTGGGGAGAGTTCGAGCATCGGCACGGGGGTGAAGTTGTGCAAGAAGGCAGCAAAGCTCAAGAACCCGAGCGCGATCTTCATGTTGTCAGGGCTCTATCGGACAGGTGCGAGACGAGGAGGAGGACAGAAAGTCGGGGAGGAGTTGACTTGCCGTGCAGGTGTCAAGGGATACATCAAGAAGGACGAGCAAGTTTCTGTGCGACTGCTCAAGAGATCTGCAAGGTGAGCCGATCGAGTCGTTCGGTCTCAGTGACTTTCAGCATACAGTCTTGGACACTCGATGTCTCTGTATGCGCTCGGAAAGGCATGTTGCAAGGTGAGCTGGTAGAGGTTCAAGCTCGATCAAAACGTCTGAATCTCAAGCGTGATAGGGAGCTGGAACAGAGATTGATTACAAGAGAGGATTCAGGTGGAATCGTTGGGAATGATGGAAACGTTGATGCTGCTGCTGCTGCTGCTGCTGCTGCTGATGGTTGTGAGATTGTTGATATGATTGCGATGATTATTATGGTAATGGTTGCCTGTTGTTTGTGATTGTAGGCATCGATTTTGTGATATTGTCTATCAGTGAAATTGTTCTGTTTACAGGAGTTATATGAAAGCGGCAAGAGAAGGTTTCATACCGGCAATGTTCCAGGTAGAGAGAAATGAAGAAGCACGAAAGGAGAGAAGGGGAGAGGAAGGAAGAAAAGGAGGGGAGAAGGACGTTATCGGTTGTTGGCTGTAGATTGAATCTTGTTGCTTCAACTCCTCTCAGGTATCCAAGTGTTATTCCATTGGCATGGGAGTAGAGCTCAATGACATCGACAGCGACAAATGGTTTGATGAGACATCCCTCTCTTACCCTCAACAGTTTCCAACAGGTTGCAGCGAGCTCTGTTTCATTCGCAGAAAAGCTCCAAGCTCGAGAACAGGGTTTGCCTCATTGCTGACCTGTGCATCTCTGTGATTGTTTTCTTTCCTTGAAAACCTTCTCTCTGTCCGGCCCGACAGAATCCTCTTTGTCATTGGCGCATCAAGGAAGACACTGAGCGATATCAAGCTGCTGTCGATTATGAGCTAAAAGTCGAGGCCTCGAGCTCTGACGAGATTGGTTCCCTTCCTTCTTGCCTGCCTGCCTGCCTGCCTGCCTGCCTGCCTGCTGCCCCCACCCTTCTCTCCGTCCCTCTGTCCTCCCCTCCCCTCCCTCCCTTCCTTCTCTCTCTGTCTCTCGTTCCTCTCCCTTCTACTCGTTTCCTCGCCCCCCCC